GGGGGTTGATATTTTCTTGGTATCGGGCCCAACTTAAAGACCATATTATGGTCATAAAATAGGCGCAGCAACCTATAGTTCTGGGCCCAACGACACAATTACAACGATATTTTTTTATTGCCTCCCTCCCAATTTCTGACTCATCAACCAAAATGTATACAAAATAAGTTTTACTACTAATATGGTGGCTATATAATCTCCCTCTCAAGAACCATATATTTTCAGAATATAGTAAATGTAATTCACTAATCAGTAATCAACTCCTGTTCGACCTCCATTCAATTTTCAACAACATAATTACCGATCGCACGTCTGACGCCTATCTATTTTATCGTCTTGTCATCTGTCAACAACATATTTTTTTGCGTGGCACAATGTTGATTGGCCAGTGAGAGTATTGTTATTTTTAATGAATACACATGATTTTACTATATTCCAGTTCCTTGTGTTATATACTAATCTTAGGTATATTTTAAATTATTAACGTTTTCATAATATATTTGAGTTTATGACATGAGGGGGGATGAGTCGCTCGCGTCCGTAGGCTTCGACCACCTAACCTTAGGCCCACCCTACACGTGTCCCCCGGGTGGTGCTAAACGAGCGACAAAGCCGAAAAATAATAGACTCGGCTCCTCGCCGTATGGTAGCGGCGTAAAATCTACCACCACCCCTTGTTCGCATCATGACTCAGAAAATAAAAGAAATGGTCCTGAGTTCCCGGCGCCCCTTCAATGGGGCAGGGGTGCGAAGAATCTTCGGGAGAAAAAACCGGCGACGAGGCTCGCCACCCGTCACGTTCTGTCTCCCGGAGGGGCGAAAAAGTGGATTGCGGAAACCCGTCTGGCTACGCTGAATGTATGTGGAGGAATGAATGATAAGATGGATGAAGTATGCGAAATGATGAATGACAGAGGAATAGATGTGTTATGTGTGAATGAGACGAAACGAAAGGGAAAGGATGCCACTGCACATGGCACGTATACCGCGTATTGGTCTGGTGTAGACGAGACCAAACGGGCATGCCAGGGAGTCGGTTTCATCCTTTCAGAAAGAATGGGTTAATGTGTGAAAGAGTATGAATGTGTAAGCCCGAGGCTGCTATGGATAAGAATGAAAGTGGGCTTAAAGAAGCTGTTCCTGCTAGGGGTATACACCCCAGACATGTCTAAGCCCACTTACATCCGAGAGCAGTTTTGGGACATGGTAAGGATGGTGTTAACAAAATGTAAGGAAAATGAAAATATTATTATGTTAGGAGACTTTAATGGAAGGGTTGGGGTGAAGAGGTCCGGTTATGAAAGGATATTGGGAACGTTTGGTGATGAAAGTATAAATGAGAATGGTGAAGACCTCCTCACTGTATGTGTGGAAAAGAATCTTTTTGTGACGAATACTTTTTTCATCATAAGAAGATTAACATGTATACATGGGAAAGAGGTGATGATAGAAGCATGATAGATTTCGTAATTGTGGATGAAAGAATGAGGAGCGCAGTCGTAGATACAAGGGTTTACCGGGGGTCCAACGTAGGGACGGATCATTACTTGGTCTTATGTCGAATTAATGGTCTTTTCAAGCGTTGGCGGCATCGGACATCTGTGTCTACCACTGCGTTACAGCGTATAAGAATAGAGAAGTTGCAAGATGAAGATGTGAAAGAGAAGTATAAATGTAGACTGAGAGGAATTATTAGATGTTTGAATGAGTTGTGTATGAATGATTTAGACTTGAATACTGTGTGGGATAATATTAAGAAAGGTTTGGTGGATGCCGCCACCGAAGTATGTGGTGTAAGTAAGAGAACAAATGAAAGGAAAAGTAATACGTTGTGGTGGGATAATGAGGTACGGGTGGAAGTTGAATCAAAGAAGAAAGCATGGTTAGATTTACTAGCAACCAAAGCTGGTAATTCTTCTGGTATTAATGAGATTGAAAGAAAAAAGGCAGAATTTAGACGTCTAAATAAGAGAGTAAAAGAAGTTGTTGAAAGGAAAAAGAAAGAAAGAACGGATAAGAATGATAGAAGTATATCTGATAATTTCCAGGCTAACATAAAAATGTTCTGGAAACTCGTAGGAACTGCCAGGGAAAATACAAAACAGCCTCTAATGGATGCTATAAGAGACGAGAATGGATGTATTCTGAATGATGAAGCTTCGAATTTAAACAGATGGAAGGAATACTTTGAAAGCGTGTTTATGAGTGAAGAGTCATCTGAATTAAATGAACTAGAAATTCCGAAAGAAGTGGAAGGGGTATGGAGATAAGTGTAGATGAAATAATGAAAGCAATGAAAAGCATGAAAGCAGGTAAGGCAGCTGGATATGATAGAGCTGGATATCACTCGAGATGCTAAGGAATAGAGAGGGAGTGGTGGCAGGCCTGCTGTACACCTTGTTTAATTTATGTTGGGAATTAAAACGGGTACCGGATGACTGGTGTAAAGCAGTTATAGTACCAATATATAAAGGAAAAGGGTCACAGCAGGACTGCAAAAACTACCGTGGAATCAGCTTGCTTAGTATTGTGGGTAAACTGTATGCTAAGGTGTTAATTGAAAGAGTTATGAAAGAAACTGATGGAAAAATTTGGGATGTGCAAGCGGGTTTTAGAAAGGGAATGGGGTGTACAGATCAAGTCTTTTCCATGCGCATGATTGCGGAGAAGTTTTTGGCCAAAAACCAGAAGGTTTTTTGTGCGTTCATGGACTTGTAAAAGGCTTATGACAGAGTGGACAGGAATGTGTTATGGCATACACTGAACTCATATGGGTTGAGCGCTGGTTTGATACAGGCATTAAAGTCTCTTTATAGTGACTCTAGTGCTTGTGTCAGGATCAATGGGGTCTACTCGGACTGGTTTGGAATCCAAAAAGGTGTCAGGTGGGCTGATGATGAACACTTGTTAGTGCAGTGAAACAACTTGCTGCATGATTGAATAAAACCACATATGGATTTTTCGTGTTTAATTTTAGAGTTTCTCGAGTATACATATTTCTGTAACCTAAACGGCTTTATGGATTTTCACATTTGTATGGAATAGTATAACATTCGTGTTATTCGTCACATAGAGTATATTTGAATTCTTTTCTATTCTTATACTACTTATTGCTTTTTACGCAGTCAGTTATTTTCATTTACTGTTTTCACAATTGGGCTTGTTAAGGTTTCGAGCATCAATCAATGGGGATCAATGGGGTCTACTCGGACTGCTTTGGAATCCAAAAAGGTGTCAGACAGGGCTGTGTAGCTTCCCCTTGGCTGTTCAACCTATTTATGGACATGTGTTTGCAAACTTTGAAAGATGAAGAATGTGGGTTAAGAATGGGCGAGTTAACCGTCAAATGCCTTTTTGTATGCCGATGATCAAGTCATATTTGCGTCATCGGCGTCTGAGTTGCAAATGATGGTTAAATTAATGAACTGTGAATTAAAAGAAAGGGGAATGAAAGTGAACGCAAGTAAGAAGAAAGTGATGGTTTTTGAAAGAGAAGAAAGCAAAACGGTATGTGAAATAAGAATAGAAGGAGAGTTAATTGCGCAAGTGGATGAGTTTGTGTATTTGGGATGTGTATTTAGCAGGGATGGTAGATATGATAGATATATAGAACGACGAGTAAATGCAGGGAATAGAGTGAATGGGGCACTACACTCTATTATGAAGAACAAGAATGTGTCAAAAAAGACACGTATGGTAATTCATAATGCTGTGTTAGTCCCTACTTTAATGTATGGTAGTGAAAGCTAGGTGTGGCAGAAGAAGCACGAACGTTGAATAAATGCTGTAGAAATGCGGTCTTTAAGGAGTATGCTAGGGTTGAATCTGAATGACAGGGTGAGAAATTGCGTGATAAGAGATAAATGTGGTATGCAAGATGATGTTGTGACCAGGATTAAGAAAGGAATGCTTCGGTGGTTTGGTCATGTAGAAAGAATGAATGAGGAAAGAGTGACAAAGCAAATTTATATGGCAGATGTGAACGGCCTAGGCGGGAAGGGACGCCCTAGAAAAAAGTTTATCGACCAAATTGGCGATATTTTGAAAAGGGGCCACGTTAGAAGTACTCTTAACCGACGAGCATGTATGCGTAGATATATGGATGTAAAGGAGGCGAAAGAGGTATGTCAGGATCGTGCCAAATGGAAGTCCGTAGTCTCTGCCTACCCCTCTGGGTGACAGGCGTGAGTGTTTATGTATATTATGTATGTTTATGACAACTTTTGAAATACTGTTAAATGTATGAGGTATTGTGCGATTGCCCAAATCACAGGAGTTCAGACGCAGCAATCATCATCATCGCAGCCTTCACAAGTCCACTGCTGAACATAGGCCTCCCCCAAGTAATGCCACAGAGCACGGTCCTGAGCCACCTGCATCCATCGACTTCCTGCATATCTTACCAGGTCGTCAATCCATCTAGTGGGGGGTCGCCCTACACTACGCCTACCGGTACGAGGCTGCCACTCGAGAATCTTTCTTCCCCATCGGTTATCGGTTCTTCGAGCTATATGGCCGGCCCATTGCCACTTCAGCTTACTAATCCGTTAGGCTATGTCGGTCACTCTGGTTTTACTGCGGATATCCTCATTTCTGAGTCTATCACGCAGAGAAACTCCGAGCATAGCCCTCTCCATAGCTCGCTGAGCGACCTTGAGGGACGAGCAAATTAATAAAAAATACGTACAAAGCTTAAAATCCAAAAAATCCTTTTTATTTTGACTCCATAGTTCAGAAGTGTCCGTTACTATCTAATAAATGTTATCTAATGCATAATTAAGGATAAGAATTTTAGTAATTGTCAAATTCATGTTGGTTCTTAGGCGAGATTTAACAATGTACTATGTTTACTAAAAATAAAGAGTAGCGTCTTTTCTATTGTTGCTAATTTAGATTATAAATATCAGTCTCCGTTTCATTTAACTATGTTAAATCTAGATTCCAAAGTTTCAATTACACGTCATTAAAAATAATTGGAGCCTCGGGTGTTTCTCTTTCAGATTGATAACTGATATCGAGAAAAGTATAATAGCAGACGAAAAACTTGGCTCGAATGAGATGCCTTCGAATAATGGTAAGAAAACGTGAGCTTCGATATATTTTATTTTTGTATTGATTTCCTTCAATTATTTTTTCTAATGATCCACTTCTTGTTTTGCAAAAGAACGATTTATCAAACATTCAACAAATTTTAATATTGATAAATGTGGTTTTTACTATGTTATATCTGATTATTTCTATGATAATTAATCCTAAAAGTTTTCAACGTATGATAGTGATTATTTTAACCACAGAAACAAGTTAACAAAACGCTCACTTTTCGCATAGTACTTTTTGAATGAATCATAAGTAATTGTTTAATTTGGTGTTTAAACAATATGCAGGCTAAAATTTAAATAATTTTCATTTTTAAACAAAGAATATACTGGTGATTACAACTAAGTTGGTACTTAAATAATTAAAATTTAAAGCCTTAACATTCCAGCAAATCTTCAAAAATTATTTATTATTATTTTTAAATTACAAAATTGCTCATGGACAATGGTAAGGACAAATATAAATTCAAGGTCACATGTAATCGGAACAAATTAAACAAAAACGTAATATACTTTAAAATGTTTCCCAATATTAGTACCATGATAGATTGAAAGGATGCCAACAATTTTTATACCATCATGTGTATACAAAACGATGTTCATTCGATTTGAAATACTTACTACACTAAGATAATTTATTGTAAGAGTAAAATTATAGTTTCAGGAGAGAGCATTCCGCGAAGTATGCGACGTGGGCTGATGATGAACACTTGTTAGTGCAGTGAAACAACTTGCTGTATGATTGAATAAAACCACATATGGATTTTTCGCGTTTAATTTTAGAGTTTCTCGAGTATACATATTTCGGTAACCTAAACGGCTTTATGGATTTTCACATTTGTATGGAATAGTATAACATTCGTGTTATTCGTCACATAGAGTATATTTGAATTCTTTTCTATTCTTATACTACTTATTGCTTTTTACGCAGTCAGTTATTTTCATTTACTGTTTTCACAATTGGGCTTGTTAAGATTTCGAGCATTATACATCAGCGGAAAATTCAAAAAAGTAGTTTTATTCAATGAATGCCTAGCTGTAGAAGATATTAAGTAGGCTGCTACTTTTTTTCAAAAAGGAAATAATACTTTTACTGTTTGACTTATTTATTTTAAAGTTAAATATAGGTTAGCCTTAATGTTTCAACAGATACTACACGAATTGGACAAAGGAGGTACAAAAGAAGGTCGCAAATGTTAATTTCTGAACACTTCAGTGAGACTACTGTTACTCCGGGAGTTGACGTAAGTCAAATTTATTGTAGATAAACTACGTAGATAAATATCCCACAGTGCTATAGAATACTATAATACACAATGGAATGGCTGTTAAACTTATTTTATACGACGATAGGCGTCGCCGGGAGCATGTGTGCTCCAAGTTACAGCAATAACGTCGTATTATCACTACTACAAACCCTATTCGCTGTATTGACAGACAGATTTTAATACATATTTATTTATATATGTAAATAGCGTGCAATTAGCATTTTCTAAATAATTTGGAAATTTGAAGAAATTTGGAAACGATTGTAACGTCAAAACACTTCTCGTGTTGACAGTTATACGTGTGAATTGACGTGTTAGTGACATTTGAGTGGCTACTTGAGCTCCGCCCATTCCCCGTTCTATTATAGTATTCTATGCAGTGCACTATGTCATAAGTGATAATTATAAATTTTTAAATCTATTAAGTGCAGTATAGAGCCGCTCCCAATAGATGACGTGACGAACCGATAAAACATGTTTAAAGTCAATGGATGCAAGTGGTTTTTCAATATATTTTGTCGAAGGCTTTAGGGGCGATTTTTGTTCATAGTGGCCTTATTTTGACTTGATGTAACAATGATGATGATAGGACTATGATAGTTTTATGCAAATATAATTGAAACGTTTAATAAAACAAAAGAAACAAAGATTACTTAATATGTTTTGCATTATGCCAGGTGAATTTACACTGTACAGTCAATGGCCCACATCCAGCAAGATTTGTGTGGGAAAGGGACAACATAGTCATCTCTTCGAACACAGATTCCAGGTGAAATATACAAAGTAAAATTTTAATAAATAATATTAAAATATATTTCCGATAGTTAAACAAATGCACGGTACAATATACAACTAATTTAAAAACACAATTTTTCATAAATCAAAGTCATAAGACTCTCATTTTTATTCTCATTTATCATGTACAAAGATTTTCAATTTTTATATTTATAACTAACAATTATATCTATATATTATTAAGTTTTTAAAATTACCAACTGTTATCTTTAAGAAATAATATATTTTCTTAAAAACAAAATATAAATTTTCTTTAGGTATATAATAGGACAAACTATGACACTAGATGGTGGTGTAACGACGCAGTTAAATATATCACATATAAGAGTTGATGATGGTGGCCTTTACGCATGTGTTGCACATCAAGGTGAAACCATTATTGCCCACCAAGATAGGGTTAATGTATACGGTGAGTTCTATGACAATGCATGAATTAGTTTTTGTTATAAAACAAATATTATTAAATACATGACCCTTCAATCCTCATAAAATCTCACGCAGTCGCAGTCCGTCAAATCCCGAGCGGTCGCATGCGGACCGCACCCACCCATAGCACTATAAACCATTAAAACTTATACTTAGACACTACTTTTCTATGAAGAAGTTTGGCATTATAAAATCTATATAAAATTCTCTATTCTGTGCTCTAAACAAAAGTCAGGTTTTACTTCATTACAAAAAAAACTTGATTGTATTTTGATAACAAACAAAAAGGGGACATACAAAGCGGATGTCAGCAGCGTAAAAATCATTATTATTTGTATATATTACTCGAAATTTTTTAAGTAAAAGATAAATTATGTTCACATAAAAACTTGCATAATCAATTTTACATTAAAACAATATACTAAAACATTTATAAAACACAAAAAAATCCAAGAAACAACACAACAAAACAAAACAACAAAACACGAGAATTGCTTACGTAATGAACATAGACTATAAATAAATAACCATAGAGTAACTGACTTTTTATTGCAATAGAGAATAGAAAATTTCATATTGAGCCTATAGTGCCAAATTTCTTCATAGAAAGTGGTCTCTAACTATAAGTATTTATGGGTTAAGTGCTGTGGGTGGGTGCGACCGAATTCGGTCAATTGGTACTTGACGGAATATCGCCGCGACCAAATTCGGCCACTTAGTAGCTAAGAGGTGAAAACTACTGACTATAAATCGTAAAACTACTAAAATATTTTTCTTGCCAGGACCGCCTTATATTCGAACATTACCACCGTTTAAGGTGCAAAGTGGTCAGAGTGTCACGCTACGTTGCCCATATTATGGTTACCCCATTAGGTACTTTTTCATTATAAATACTTTAAAGTATAAATCCATTAAGTAATTAATTCAACTATTTAATTTATTTTCTGTTTAGAGAAATTATATGGGAGCACCAAGGTAAAGAGATAGCAAAAGATGCTACGCATCAGGCGCATCGCTATAAAAGATTTATCAATGATACTGCCCTTAGTGTAGAAATATTTGGACGCAAGCCAAAATTAAGACAAAAACGTGATGCTACAGTATCCAGAGATGGTGTATTAAATATAGCAAAAGTTACAAAAAGTGACAATGGGGCAGCCTATGCTTGCATAGTGAAAAGTCCATCTGGTGAAATGGCAAAAAGATCATTCGAATTGCAAGTAGTTGAAGCTCCACAGTTAGAAGAAATTTTGTTAGCATCAGATTTGAGAGAAGGACAAATCGTACAAATTCATTGCAATCTGAAAAGTGGCGATTCTCCGGTGTATTATTCTTGGTTAAAAGATGGTAAAAAGATACCTACACATTTAAAGGTAAATTTTGATAGTTTTTTTTGGAAATTCTAAAATCATATGAAATTGAGGACTTTACCTCTTTAATAGTGTAAAGTTTCCCCCCTCTCATAATAAAAAATAAATATTATATACTAAATATATTATTTTCCCCTTTACATAATAATTATATATATGTGACCAGGATTAATAAAATATGTTTTGATCTTTCTAAATGATCTTTCAAAAGGTTTATTAATAGGCCGTTTTTAATATTTTGGCGTGATCGTCTTAGTTAGGACCCTTATTTACGTTGTGTTTGTTTAGTAACTTAGTTCTTTTAGGTGTCTTTTGGAAGAATGAATATTCACTAGGGCAATCGAAAGCTGTTGGTAGTGCCTTATAAGCTAAGTGAACCCCGTTCACGAAGACAGGGCTCGAAAAAGGTTAAGAACATAAAACGTCCCTATTCCGCTTGTAATCAGGTTTACATTATTAATTATCCCTTCCCGCTCGGAAAAGGCTCAAAATATATTTATACAAAATACCCGATACAAGGGCTTCGCTCTCCTACATTTATTTATAAAAAAAATGTAGGGGAGGTACACGGCCCCACACACGCCGTGCACGGTGAGTGCCAACCATTTTGATGCACTCCCCCCGAAGGGAAAGCTAATTCGGGAACTGGACCGTAGTCCACAGCAAAATAACTGGCGAGCCAGTAAAAGAGGCTTGGACCCTTGCTAGTGCGTAAGCACAAACATCGACCGAAGTCGCGCATGTCAATGCGTGTAAACGCCAAACAGAATACGAACGAATCCAGCCACAGTGAATGTACGTCACACGGTATAGGCAAATAGGCACACTGGCCGTAAACCCTCCGTGAGCACCACCACCTGCCAGACCGCCGCTCCTGCAGACGTGATGTAAGTGTATGGCATCACCACCAATTGCATCATCATTGCATCAGCACGACTACTAGCCGCAGAGCGTGTCATGAGTCTACCGCTCACCTCAAGGGAATGGGGTCCCACGTTGTGCGGCTTTCGGCCGCAGCCTTGAGAGTCTCCTCAGATCCTCCCGCCAGCTACCACCCGCATGAGGTCGACACATATGCTCCACCAACCAATACAACGGTAGATATAGCCAAAAGGCAGTTATAAGATAAGAGTAATAATTCGCCATCAGAAAGGGTTTGTGTCACTGACGTTGAGTAAATGCATTTTCGATCATGTTTGTCTCACCCACCAACAAGTTGCCTTCAATCATTCAAAGGTGGGAAAGTTACAGAGATATAATATTATGTTGTTATACAAAACATTGTGGAGGGCAGACAGTCTGCAGCCCCGTAATGAAGGGACCCGACTTGGGCAAAGTTACACAGGCGTGAGTCAAACCAAGACGTAGAGAGCGCCATTGAGAATAGCGTCCCACCAAACAACCATCGCAAAGACGCAACGCTGCAGTACGCAACAAGCATCAATACGACTATCGTCGGGCTTACACCATCCCAAGGTCCCCCATACATCCCAGCAGACATCACCACCCGCATACCTCCATCGACCAGAACCACAAGAATGCGTCGAATCAGGCGCAACACACCCGCAGATCCATCACAAGACGCAATACCGCAAGTAGCAGTAAGCATCAATGCAACTATCATACGGGTGGCGCCCCCTGACAACACACCCACATGATCCCTATCGACTTTGGTAACAAAGTTGGTATTGTTGTTATATAAAAAAAATATCACCAACGTATCATAGTAGCACGCTACTAAGACGCCAATGAACAAAACTCCACGTATCATAGCGTTAATGCACTAAGACATGAAGTTGAGTATGCCTGCTACACTTAAAAGTGCTACCAAACACACTCATCATCCCAATCCGAAAGATAGACAACACATCGCTATGCGCAACGACGTCGCCCACAAACGGTATGGGTGTGCGATGTCCACGGGAAAGCCGTATTGCTACAACAAACCCGCTTACCACCGGCACTAAGATGTTAATTGTATACCTCCATCGACCAGAACCACAAGAATGAGTCGAATCAGGCGCAGCACACCCGCAGATCCATCATAAGACGCAATACCGCAAGTAGCAGTAAGCATTAATGCAACTATCATACGGGTGGCGCCCCCTCACAACACACCCACATGACTCCTATCGATTTTGGTAACAAAGTTTGTATTGTTGTTATATAAAAAATATCACCAACGTATCATAGTAGCACGCTACTAAGACGCCAATGAACAGAACTCCATGTATCATAGCGTTAATGCACTAAGACATGAAGTTGAGTATGCCTGCTACACTTAAAAGTGCTACCAAACACACTCATCATCCCAATCCGAAAGATAGACGACACATCGCTATGCGCAACGACGTCGCCCACAAACGGTATAGGTGTGCGATGTCCACGGGAAAGCCGTATTGCTACAACAAACCCGCTTACCACCGGCACTAAGATGTTAATTGTATACCTCCATCGACCAGAACCACAAGAATGCGTCGAATCAGGCGCAGCACACCCGCAGATCCATCACAAGACGCAATACCGCAAGTAGCAGTAAGCATCAATGCAACTATCATACGGGTGGCGCCCCCTCACAACACACCCACATGATCCCTATCGACTTTGGTAACAAAGTTGGTATTGTTGTTATATAAAAAATATCACCAACGTATAATAGTAGCACGCTACTAAGACGCCAATGAACAAAACTCCCCGTATCATAGCGCTAATGCACTAAGACATGAAGTTGAGTATGCCTGTTACACTTAAAAGTGCTACCAAACACACTCATCATCCCAATCCGAAAGATAGACGACACATCGCTATGCGCAACGACGTCGCCCACAAACGGTATGGGTGTGCGATGTCCACGGGAAAGCCGTATTGCTACAACAAACCCGTTTACCACCGGCACTAAGATGTTAATTGTATACCTCCATCGACCAGAACCACAAGAATGCGTCGAATCAGGCGCAGCACACCCGCAGATCCATCACAAGACGCAATACCGCAAGTAGCAGTAAGCATCAATGCAACTATCATACGGGTGGCGCCCCCTCACAACACACCCACATGACTCCTATCGATTTTGGTAACAAAGTTTGTATTGTTGTTATATAAAAAATATCACCAACGTATCATAGTAGCACGCTACTAAGACGCCAACGAACAGAACTCCATGTATCATAGCGCTAATGTACTAAGACTTGAAGTTGAGTATGCCTGTTACACTTAAAAGTGCTACCAAACACACTCATCATCCCAATCCGAAATATAGACGACGCATCGCTATGCGCTACTACGCTGCCCACAAACGGTATGGGTGTGCGATGTCCACGGGAAAGCCGTATTGCTACAACAAACCCGCTTACCACCGACACTAAGATGATATGTCTAGGACACATCGGTTAGCGAGTCCAAGTTTACCTAGGACCAATTGCTCGTGAAGCAGCACACACGCCACCATAATATTCCTTTTCAAGTCCCTAATAAGGACTAGTCATTTTGCTACAGTACTAGGAGCAGTCGGTTACCCGACCACTCCATACAATGCTTATGTATCAAGGAGACCTTCTATAATATTGCTGTTGTATCATAGACCTTACTTTCATAAGTCATTCATATATAGGATTCGAACCCAAGACCCTACTATTGTAATGCAAATTCATCATGGAGACCTTCTTTAGTATTGCTTTTGTATCATTGAGTTTAATATCATAAGGCCCTAATATAGGACTAGTCATTGTGCTACAGTACTTCAGGCAGTCGGGATCCCGACCACCCCATATATATGTACAACTGCAGGTATGTACCTCCGGCAGCTTCCTCCATACAAGACGTCTATACGTGAACACCTTCCATAACTTAGGAAAATTTTCTTTAATACAAGAACTCCTTCAACAACTTAGAAATTTCATCTATACGTGAACTCCTTTCACAACTTAGAAAAATTTTCTTTTATACACGAACACCTCCCATGACTTAAACAATTTTTAACAAATTTTCTAATTATCTTATAAACGTTATTTAACTTAATTTTACAATATTTTTTGACTTGTATTTCTATTATTTATCTTATTTTAAATATTTTTTCAAGTTTTTAAAATAAATTTATTTATTACGAAAAACAATAATTTTGCCTTTAATTTACTATGTTATTGGGATAATGTCTGAAATATATTAACTTTATGTTTATTAATTTAACTTAATTGCTTAATATATATCTTTTAAGACTATTTTTGACGCCCCTTTATATTGAATTTAATTATTAATAATAATATTGGGCCGTCACAATAGGAATAAAAACTTTTTATTGTTATAGACTGACTCATCACGGTATATCTCTATACACAAAATTGATTAAAATTTTCGAAACGAATTTACGGCAGTCCCATAAAAACATCTTGGTATATTTAATATACATTATTATCGGGTATTACCTTGCGCACAGCAAAGGCAGTGGGTATCAGCTAGCAAATTATAAGATTATAAATTATACTTATTGACACTGTAACTCTCATTGTTAACTATAAATCAATACTCGGAGATAGAATAATACATTGATGGACATTAAAGTAACTTATAATAACAATTTAAATAAAAACAAAGAAGTAAGAAATAAAAGCACAATATATTCTGCCCACACTATCATAAATCGCTCATTTGATGGCAATTTGCAAATGCTTGGCGTAATATTAAGTTAATAACATTTTTAATAGCGGATTTCATACACAGATTTAAGATCAGTTCCAAAACAAGACTACCAGACTATTAGACAATAAGAGCAATACAAATAAAACAACTAACTCAACTTAAAATCAAACAACACGATCATTGTCTGTTGTAGGGTTTGACAATATAAAGTTGAATACCGTTCAGTTTATTCAATCAATATCGGCACTACAACTTTTGTTTTGTGTCTTTACTTATTACTTTTTTATTTACTGATCCAATATTTCTTAGTATAATACTAAGAAATTTTGGATTTCATCTTCTTTTCACATAGCTTACACAAAAACAAATCACTTTTCTTATGTTAAAATTAAAAGTTCATCAGGTGTTACGCTTCATATATAATTGGTTTGGAATCGATGTTATTATTGGCTCCCGAAATATTATAAGAAAAAAATATTCTCTGAATTTCAAATACTCACAAACACAGATATCCATTAAATAACATCAATACTCTAGGGGTTTCAAAACATGAAGATATGATACCCAGAAATCAAAACCATTAAAACTTTAGAAAAGTTAATAAAGATGTTTTCTACATATTTTTATCTCTATGATATCTGATTCTAATAAATATTTTGCACATTTTAATACATAATAGTAATTAAGTACATATTAAAATTCCTATATAATATTGTCTTTTGGTCAATGGTAGGAACAGTAGTAATTTTATTCATTTGAATTCAGATTGTGGAGCGCAGCTTAGAAGTTTTCAGTGTACTCATTATTAAAAACGTGTCACTTGAACACTGTGGAACTTATACTTGTGTAGCTGCAAATCACGTGGCGAAAGTAAACAGGACTGTTAATTTGTATATAAAAGGTAATCATTTTTATTATTATTATTGTTTCATAAAGTTACTGCGTTTCATCTTAAGTAACCTTAATTTAATTTAAAGGATGTGTCCACATCTTATGATCTTCCCTTCGTCGTATCTTCTCAGTTTCAAGGCACTCGCTTTGTTGCCTTAGCCAGTATCGGAATCCTCGGCATCATCATATCGACTGATGTGTAGTTTCATGATAACTTGGAAGAGAAGGCCAAATTGGCCTCTAAAAGCTTGGCGTGCTCAGCAGAGCGGGACAGTATTTCATGTCGCCGCCTGCAACTTTACAAGGCGCAGCTTCAGCCGTACATGGAATACTGTTCCCATCTCTGGGCGGTGGCTCCTCAGTGCCAGCTCCTTCCATTTGATCGCATTCGGTGCAGAGCAGTTTGAATCGTCGGCGACCGAGCTCTTTCCGATCGGTTTAACTCACCGGTACTGCGAAGAGATGTTGCATCTCTTTCGTATTTTATCGCATCTACCACGGGGAGTGCTCTGAGGAATTGTGCGGTATAATTTCAGCCACACAATTTCACCATCTTACATCGCGACAAAACTCACGATACTATCTATACAATGTGGATGAATGGCGGTCCACCACCGTGCAATTTAAAAGAAGTTTTCTTCCCCGTACAACTTCCTTGTGGAGTCCACTACCACCAGAGATTTTTCCGGACTTTAGGACAACTTAGAGACCTTCAAAAAAGAGCCTACTCCTTTTTCAAATGCTGGCAAAGCATCTGAAATTCCCCTGGTGTTGCAGTTGTTCATGGGCGGCGGTTATCACTTACCATCAGGTAAGCCGTATGCTCGTTTGCCCCTTCTTCTATAAAAAAATCTTCAAAGACATTGGAATTATTTTATAAATGCCATACTTCACTTTTTTATGTAGTAGGACTTTTCTCTGTTCTCTTTATAAATATTTCCGTTTTCAAAGCAGTACACCTTTTGCTGCTTTCTGGTTTGAACGGTAAGAGAGCCAGTATAATTACAGGCCGTATGTCATTTCGTTATAGTCTAGAAGGGTGACGACATATCTATAATCTTATTTCTTTGAAGTTAGATATATATGTCTAGTAGCTACTTGACATCAAGTAGACTATTAACTCGTTTATTACTCGTATTATAAAAAGAGCAATGACGGCAAATGGCGACGAGGAGCAGGAAGAAAGGCGAAAAGTTTTTTCAATGACTGCTACCTATTATAAACCACATAATATACATCAAGTTAATGATGAATGTTTACGTATACTAATGATAATTTAGGATATTAGGGAAAACATTGGTACTGTTTTGATTTAATTATTGTTTTTCGAGGGCAATTAAAATCGATATGATAATTTAATGCATGTAAATAAAATTCTGTTTCACAAAGATTCCAGCTGTATGAAATTTATTTTTCTGTACAGTCGCTCCGAAATGGAGTGAAGAACCACACAATACGTCCCTACTTCTGGGTAGAAACGGACATGTATCCTGTAGTGCTAACGGATATCCTCAACCACAGACGCATTGGTTGAAAAAAGATGGTACGTGGTTATAATTGTAAACAAATAATGCAATATGCATAAAAATTAACACATATTAATTTATGTTGTATTTACATCAGTGATATCCGATACATGGCGTCCCGTTTTGGAAGTAGCTGGCGGGGGAGTTCTTAGTTTATCCAACGGTTCACTAATATTTGACGCTGTTGCTTTATCCGATGCTGGTTTGTACACATGTCACGTTGAAAACGGCGTCGGTGATCCTTTAAGCAAGACTATTTGGATATCAGTTAATAGTAAGTATTTTACAATTGTTTTGAAAACTCATAAAAAATACTGAGTTAAAAAAACTAATAATTTATTCCCAAGAGAATTGTATCAGTCTGTAATACATTCACTTATATATAAAGGTAATGTAGCTTTAATTAAATTGTAATAGATTTTATGAAATTAACTATATTATATACATATTGTTACAGAACCTGTTACATTTGATATGGTATCTAGAAATTTAACGGCAAAACTAGGGCAACATATTACAATTGAATGTCAGGCAAAAGGAGACGATCCTATTAGAATTATGTGGACAAGAAATGCAAAGCCAATCAACCCTCTAATCCAAAGGTAACATCGATATAGTTTACTTAGAAGCATGGGCAAAAAATATTATTTCTTCTCACAATTTAATTCTTTAAGCATTTCTTCTATTCTTAAAGCTTTTTTTACCCTCAATTTTTTTAATCTATAGCAAGCACTTAAGGCTAAACTAAATCATTTAAGGTTGATGTGATGTGTAT